CTAAGGTCTTCTTTTGCTTGTGATTCGTATTTAACGTTCAGTCCTTAAATTGTGAATTTTATTTCGCCAATAGACATAGACATTATAAAAGAAACATATAAGCAAGTTTTGAAATGCATGAATGCTAGATGTCGATTTAGCCGATATTGCTAATGTATTATCCGCCTTTGGCTAAACTGTATGACTTACATCGGTTCGAATATTCTAAACCGGTGCATAATTAACCCTGGCCACGATTGTACAATGCTCTAGCGATCTCGGCTAAATCGACATGTAGCAATGAAGAACGTCAAAAACTGCTTCTATGTTTCGTTTAGGATGTGTACGTATATTGAGAACAATAAAATTCGCAAATAATTTCAAAATAAGCAAATTTGAGTAGACCAGAAATGCGCCTACTGAAACGAGGACGCTGGGTGACAATGGCTTAAGGAGGCCCCACTCAAGCGGTATTAGGCAGATACCGGACGACTGCTGACCGAATCCCTAGTGGGGGTAATGCTTGCGTGCTTTTCCCGTCCGCCAATTTCTCGGCGCTTTCTTGTCACGCAGCATGTCGGCCTTGGTGGCACATCGGGGGATGTGAAAAGTAGCCGAGCGACACGGAATCGTGGGGCCGTCGCCGAACGCCGCCTATAGATGACCGTGGCGGTGCTCGGCGCACCCTGTTCCCTTCCGCCCCGGCCGCCCTCCCCTCGCGTCCCGCTGGCCCCTCTCCGGTCGGTGAACTCGGCCTCCGGGAGACGATCAATCACCCTTGTGCGTGCGCGCAGGCCGATTGTCGCCGCGCCGCGCGCGCCGCGCCGCGCCGTGTTTCGCTCCGCAGATCGCAGGAAGCGGGCAATCAGCGACCACGCGGAGGCGGACCGCCTCGGCTCGCGGCGAGCGCCGCGCCTGCCTCGCGCCCACCCGCGCTCGCAACCCGCCTCTTTACACTAGACTTGTGGCAGACTGGCACTCACTTTCTCGTATCACTCTGTTTCCGCATCTCTTTACTGTGGATTGGCCCACCCTCTTCCCAGCTGGGGCCTATCGGCGCCTTTTATACTTTATTTTTCATATTTTTCTCAATTTACCTGCCACTTCACTGTACAATTGAAATACGACTTCAATAATATTACAGAAGAGTAAAATTTGGTTCCATAAACAAATTTTTATTGAAACATTTAAGCCGATTTTGAGAAAATGTCGTTTCAGCGTTTCTGAACACACGTTTTTCGCTCCAATTTTGTCTGAGATACCACTGATTTCTAACAGGTCGATATCAATTGTGGTTTAATGTATTTCATCACGTTGTTTTTTTAACATAATATTGTTAAACATGCATTAAAACTAACAAAATGACTGGTACATCGGACTGTCTGTTAGCAATAAGGTTCTGTAATTCAAAAATGGAGGTATTTCAGACCCGTGATCATGAAATATTTAACGCATATTTATTTACACCTGACACATTTTTATGTACACTTGTATATAGAGATCAATAGGCACGAAAAAATGTAAAACTGGCAGTCAAAATAGCCATTCAAAAATGTAAAAGAGGCATTTAAAAATATTTTTTCTTATTCTTATTTACGTCATGTAGGAAGTTTCTGAAATAAACCTAATATAGATATCTTCATGGAATGTTTGCTTTCATCATTGTCCTTCCAAATCCTCGTAGAAATCCTTGCTTTCGTTCTTGAGTAATTCCAACAAAAAAGGCTTAATCGCAGTAGCTACCTTTTTGCTTTTCATTAAATGCAAGCTAATATTCTAATGCTGCCCAAGATCTTTTGCCTCACATTTAATTTAAACATCAGTAAAAATAATGTACGATTTGTTTAAATTCCCATGCATAAAACAAGTGTAACCAGTGGTACGAAAAATTAAAGTGGTCCGTGGGGAACAATTGAAGCAAACTTTTTAGTGGTTTTTGAGAATTATTTGTATAATTTGCATGAAAATTAAGCAGAAATTCTGCAAAAAAAACACTGTTTTTTTTTAAATAATATACATGGCCTTTATAAAGATCTGATTTTTTAGAAAATGTATCGCTTAAGAGAAAAAGTTCTGAATTCAATATTGTACATTTGCAATATTACCTTTTTGCAAATTTCAAAAATAATGTTTGAGAAAATGAGACCGGCACCAATTTTTATGCAGTTGTTACATAAGAGTATAAAATTTTAAGAAAAATTTGTAACAGTTTTTATTTTAAAAAATGTGTAAAAAATATAAGTAAAAATAACTTGACCATCACCAACGATTTTGCACATTTCATAATACGAAATACCCGCACTGTGGTGGCAATAAAATGGAACATAGATTTACCTATAGTTGATAGATTTCTCTGTAATCTGCAAGATTAAAACAAAAAAAACATACATTTAAAAAAATTATTAAGGATAATATCATTTGACCTATAAGTACGAAAATATGCAACATTTAAGTTTTTAAACACAAAATAGGCATTTGTTAGTGAAATGGACATTTAAAGGCTCTATAAAATTCGCATATACTCCTCATGCCTCAAAATGAATACGTAACGTAAAATATTGCGTTTTTCATTGAAAGAAAAAATAGATAATTATGCGCAAATCTGCAGCTTAGAGATCAATATAGCCGTATCACCCTTCCGTCCCATGCCGTGCACTATATTGCCATGTGCATGTATATTTAGTTATTTTCATTTTATTGTAATGAAAATATTAAAAAATCTCTAATGAATGAAGCGCCTTACATCCAAGTGAGAATTTAAGCGTAAAAGTGAATATTTCAATTATAAATTTGCACTCACAAAGACAATTGGGGTAGTTACCACATTGCGAGAAACTCAGAAACGTAAAGAGGGAGTTGGGGAAAATATCCAGGAGTTCTAACTTCGTTTACTACCCGTCACATTTTGCATGGGCCCTTCGATATTTCGCACGCAATACTGAAATTAGTATTGTTTTAGATGGCGTTGGTTGGTTGGATACTTCAGACTCATCTAATCCACTATGCTTGAACTATCGCCCCCCACTGAGGGCGCGTCATTCGCTTCAAAGCACTACGCAATGTTTCTGTACAAAACCTTTCTGAAAGAACATAACACTAAACGACATAACAATAAAATCCACTCCGCAGTTCTCATGGTTTTAGGCGATGTAGAGGAGAACGGGAACATTCTTTTAAATCAGTATAAAAATCAGAATTATTTTCTGTCATCTTTTACTTCATCTTCGTGCAATATTTCTCGATCAAATCAGTTGCATTGTTCTGTAGCCCTTGAATCATTATTGTTTTTATGAAGATTATTGTACGTCCTGAGTATTACCTACGTGCGCACACTGAATCTCTCTCCCATACGTCACATACAGCCCGTCTCCCCCGCACGCACTCTTCGACCATCCTGCCTACAACTCCTGCTCTCTCATCCGGCCTACTCCGCTCTGTATGCTTTTCTAGCTCATAACGCTACGTCGCCGACCCCGCTTGCCCCATCGGACTACCAGTGCTGTCCGGCCCACACCTCCTGCCCCGCGCACCCGGCCTTTTCTGCTGGATAAGGTCTTCCCGGTCATCCAGCCCCACCCGCTCTATCGCCCATACCCTCAGCACACCATATTCACCCTACCATGGGTGTCCTTCCTACAACCCCCTCCACCGCACGCCCTATTCAAACAACCATGGCCGTCCTTCCTACAACCCCCATCCCCGCACGCCCTATTCAGCCTACCATTGCCGCCCTTCCTACAACCCCCCTCCCCCGCACGCCCTATTCAGTCTACCATGGCCGTCCTTCCTACAAATCCTCCCCCCCAGTACGCCCTATCGGGCTACCATTGCCGTCCTACGAACACCTCCCGCCCCAGATATTCAGCCCCTTCCTTTCCATCTGTTCCCCCCACTCATCATGTTTCGTCCGTCTCTCCCGCTCGCCCTCTCTGGCGTGCCATGGCCGCCTGGCCAGCACCTCCCGCTTCTTTCGCCTCTCCACCTCCGTCCGCAGCGCTCCTCCTCCCTCTACTTCTGCTTCGCTGCGTCCGCTCCGCCAGCGCTGCCCGCTCGGTCCCGTTCGGCCCCGGCCCCCGGCGCCCGCCATCGCTCGACAGCAACGCGGGGATTGCATTCAACTGGCCATCAAAAACATTTGGGGGCGTTGAATTGCAAACGCACTATTTTTCATGTTTGGCCTTTCAAAAGTATTTGTGACAAATTTGGGTGCAATCACTCCAGTGATTCTAAAGTTTTTTGAGGCACATACAAACATATGTATTAACTTTTGTGTAATTTGTCAGAGGCAATTTTATGTAATTGGACGAAGCTACGCGGGAGAGGGTGAGGAGATCGGCAAAAAAATCATTTCTTCGGAACCTTTCGGGGTCATTTCGGTAAAACAAAAGCTACCTTGGTCTCATGGGATCATAATGCGCTTTAATTTCAGGTTGATAAATTACGTGTTTTTTTTAGATAAATCGGTTTGTATTGACGGACAGACAGACGATAATTACTGATTTGACGTAAGATTCCTTCTAGTAATCAAATAAGCAAGTTGAAAAGTATTTAAAAGCTGAAAATTCAAAAATCCCAAACAGACCCTTATTCATCATAAGGTTTATTTATCTCAATTAATATATACTGTTAGTAATATTCTGTCTCGTTGACCTACCGCGAGAATGGTGCTTCGTGAGAACGCAAAAGCTGGTTTTCGAGGTCAATGACTTCGAGTTAAATTCCTTAACACCGTAATCTATAAAATGAGATCTATTGGGATCTACATTACATTTCTGGGGGAGGGTCGGATCTTCTAAGTGCCCTGCTTCCTGAGAAGACTGGGGCGTGCGGTAATGCCTCACCCGTGCGTTATTCCCCCATCCAGTTCAGAATCTCTAATTTTATTAAAATAAGTTTTCCTCCATACGGATGTTGCGGAAAGTGGCAGGGGGCTACAGGCGCGAGTTCTCGCGTGGATACGATAGCTCAGAAAAATGGTTTTAAATTGATAACACACTAATTAAGGAAAACTCCTGTTTCAGCAACCGGAAAGAAAGGATGATGACCAGCAACAGCAGCAAAAGAAAGGAAAAATTATTCGATTTGGATGGCTTGAAGGTGTCTTTGTAAGTACCCTCGTGTCAATTACATTATTAACTTCATTATTTATCTTGAAAATTATAAATATTTTACAATTTCTTTGGCAGATGCGATGTCTTCTCAATATTTGGGGTGTTATGTTATTTTTACGACTGTCCTGGGTAATCGGCCAAGCTGGCATAGGTAAGAAATTCATAAGTACTCTCCTGAAATGTTGCAGAGTAACTACAGTAATCATTCGTATATTTACATTTTATTAAAAAGGAATTAATATTCATATAGAACTCTAAAAGAATAACATATACTCGCAATGATTTCAGTGTTTTAACAAACTTATTTAAAATCAAGAACCACATTACAAATTATATTTTTTAATGTTTTCACAAAATAAACATGGTGCAATGTTATTAAAAAAAGACTGCAGTCTTCCGTAGTGGATTAAGGTACTATAACATGATTATACTGTCATCTTCAATATGAGATATAATTGAATCGGGCTGAGGAGAAAGGGAGCAAGTCATTCCTTGCCACTTTTCAGGAGGAAGGAAACATTAAATAATACACGTTATATAATCCTGTCTGATTTTTCTGTTATTTCACTAATGATAGTCTAAACACTATTATGACGTGATTACTTTCTTAACAGTATTTGCAATGCCTTAAAGACATAAGAAACATTAGAAAAAAGTTACATTTTTGACTTATTCCCTTTCTCCTCATGCTGATCCTTTGACCTCGTAAGATATGCCCGGTAATTTTGGAAAATTGATACGCATTTGGAAATCGTTTTAAAAAAGATAGTATTGTTCTAGCTTTCAAATCAAATAAAGATAAAATCAGATGAGTTTCCCAAAAATTGCTGTACATCATTATTTACGTTACATTGTTGCAGTCCAAATTTCCCTGGTCTGCCTATCGCAATAATTATTTTCTTCATTTTCAATATCGCACAATTAATGTACAATTTCCAATGAAGATTTCTACTGATAGTGAGTCACATCTTTTTACTTTTTCCTATTTCTTCGTAAAATAGAGGAAGTCTTTTTTGTATTCCGGCATAATAAACAACCCTTTTCGTTACAGGAAATCATTCATAAAATAGCACCTTACGACACAGAAATGACGTATTTGACGTTATGGCCCGAATAATTGCGTCAAAACACATTGAGCCAAAGCCACAGCGAGAGGGTAGTGGGGGGTTGCAGTCAACGGACCACTATTTTCTCACACAGATGTCGTATACCCGTGACGTCAGAATGTTGTTGTTTACCAAAATTAAGTTTGTCTTATAAATGTATATTGCTGATATGGAAAAAATAGCGTATGGAAATCGTATATTGCTTTATTGCATTCGTTCAAATTTAAAAACTCGGTTCTAACGTCGCTCGTTTTCAAAACATGTACTCATCAAATATAGCTTACCATTATAAACTAATTGCATAAACTTATATTAATGTTGCAGGAGAAAGTGACGACTTTTTTGTTGTGAATACTCGTTTTGTGGGCCCTACCGAATAAGTGGATATTACTCACTTCTTTACATAGTAAATTACTTTTCAAATTATGTAACGAACTCAGAAGTCACCTTGTGTGTAAAATTGAAGTGTTTTTCCTACGATCGTTTAAAAAGGTAGATTTCTACGCTGCTATAGTTCGTGAATAAGCATTTTCTTAAAACATTTGGAAAACGTCATGTTACCGAGCAGAAACAATACCTTTTACTAGTTGAATGTGACGTCCACGGCGCTGTAAACAGTTTTCCAAGTATTTTTATGTATTGCAAATTTATGTCATGCGTAGAGCTGTGTTCATATTAGTAGTTCTTGCAGTCTCTGACATTGAACATACCAATGAATCATAGTAACTGATAATGTTTTACTCCTGTTCAAAAATCTCCATCACCCAATGGCCTTGTATGTTACCTCCATAGAAGATACGAACGAGTAATATTGCAGTTTCAAAATTGTAAACGCCGCAAAAAGTACTTGCAGGTATGAATGATGTCCAATAGTTAGAATTTAATACAGCTACATTATTTACGTTTTTTGCTAATATGCACAAAAATGCACATAAAAAAGGCTGTTTATGTGCATATTAGCAAAACTTCTGGTTGATGCGAGAACGTCACTCAATGATGAGAAGTTGAGTTTTTTTAACAAAACTTGTCTTTATTTAATTTGTTGACTTTTTCAATGTAATTAAACATCTGTTATTCTTACTACCTTCCTTATATTTACATTTTTGTTTGAATAATATTAAATCGAAACACTAAGAAATACTATTAAAATATTTAAAAAATACAATGTAAATTGATAGGATTTTCTTTGTTTCAGTATCGAAATTGGGGGGCGGATGAAAGTAAGAATAGGAACCCCCAAATTAACCTAGGGCCAAGGGCTCCCAATGCTGTTAAAATGGCCCTGGTAAAAGGTATTGTTTCTCAACGGTAACGTGAAGTGTTTCAAATGTTTTGAGAAAATACTTATTTCACGAACATGTAGCATCATAGAAATCTACCCTTTTAAACGATCGTAGAAAAAAACACTTCAATTCCCCACACAACGTGACTTCTGAGTTTGTTACATATTTTGAAAAACAGTTACTACGTAAAGAAGCAAGTAATATCCACTTTTTCAGTATCAATAAATTTACTAATCTTCGGAATATTGAAGAGTATTATAAATAAAACGGAGAAGGTTCATCATTACAAATTGTGGGGTCACTATAAAGTACTTTAATGACGTGAAAGTCAAAATAACTTCAAACTTCAAACGTCAAGAATAATACATTGCTAGCTACATACTAAGCTTCTTCTGCTTTCGAGATTTCTCACATCATCTCTCACAAGAAGTATGCAAATATATGAAAACGTAATACTGCCAACATTCTGAAGGAGCATGTAATGCCCACATTATTACGATATATTCTTCGAGTATTGTGACAACACTAATTCTAAGTCTGGCTACCCTACCAACTATATGATTTAAAAAAAGCATATTGTCTTCCACAAAAGCAGATCCACTTCCTTACATAAACATGAATTACTCTCATCTGAAGTCAAAAGAGCAAGGTCTTAAAGTTTAGAATTTGTAGATGGGCCAGTAATACAACTAATGACAACATTGTGTAAAACTGTCAGGTTTCTTTGCAGAAGACGTTAAGTTAGTTATCTTTTTGAAGACATCTTTAGTAAATAATTACAAATTTCTGAACAATTTACTTCTCTTAAATGTGGTAGAAAAGCTGCTAAAATTATTAAAACTGCGAGTTTCTACTAACACATATTATAAAGAAGTTCCATCGAAATCCTCTGCTTGAAAATGAACCGAACATAACTTACTGTATGTACAAGGCAGTCAGTTGTCTTTTTGCAAAACTCTAATCCTCTTTGGTATGAAGAGAAAAATCACAAAAATTAACCAATATCTTCAAATTTTACTATATTCTCCAAACCATATAAAGAAACTACGTACATGAGAACAGTAATTCACGCCTTCCCCGAACGATTTGTATAACAGTAAGCAATACAAGTAACCTTTTAGAACTGATACGAAAGCTTGTTAATCTAATTAAGGCTTTTAAATATAAAAAAACTATGACAAATAACACACCTCAACACGAAGACGCCTGGAAGTGTTTTGGGCACAGCGATATGGCTGATCGTTGGTTCAGGTAGCGTCAAGTTTGTGACGTAAAGCCTTCTCCCTTAATTCCTAGATCCAAGGTTACTTTAGTAAGTCGCGGCACGTTGTATTTGTGAAGATGGAGAAAGTGCAGTACCGTTCAGTAATTCGCTCTCTGCTTCTGGGCGGAGAAACATGTGACGAGATAAAAGCGAAGGTATGGATGCTGTTAATGGGGACCCTTCGCTATTTTAATGACTTAATGGTTTTTCATGACGGGCGTCCAAGCAGTGCCCCCTGGGTGAGGGTGCTGGCCCAGGGCGCCCGGCAGATACGGAGGAAATCATTAAAAAAGTTCATATCATGATTTTAGCTGATCGGCGAACGAATGTGCACGGAATAGCAAAGGCCATTGGGGAAGCGATGGGAACGTTAGTGAAAATTTTGCCTGAAAAATTGGCAGTGAATGTGGCGGCCCGATGGGTACCGCGATTGCCAACTGCGGACAAGGCCACGCGGCTTTCAACTTCAAGATTGTGTTTAGAGAAATTTAAGCAAAATTCGAAAGCTTATTGCGTCAATTTGTCACCGTCAATGAGACCAGGATTCATTACTTTACGCCGGAAATCAAGCAACAATCAAAACAATGGATTACTTCTGGTGAATCTGCTCCGAAGAAGACGAAGACGGTTCCATCAGCTGGAAAAGTGATGGCAACGATTCCCTTGGGATGCAAAGGCCATCATACTGATGGACCTCTTGAACAAAGGAAGAACAATCTCCGGACAGTAGTACAGTGAGTTCTGGGATCGCTTCGACAAGAAATGGAAGGAGAAACGGTCTTATTAAGCGAAGAAATAAGTGATCTTTCATCACGACTACGCATCAGCACATTGATCTGGAGTTGTCGATTGATCGGAAGTTGGCGTTGTCGCAGTTCCTTTGGTTTTGACGTCCACCTACCAGTCAGATATTTTTTGAAGATGAAATAAAACGTGTTGGACAGGCGCCGGCCGAAGGCCCGAGCCTCGTCGTCAACTTGGACACGCGTAGCGAAGCGTCACAAGTCCGCGCGCGTGAACCGTGACACCGCCAACTCCCGTTTTACCGAGTTGCCATCGCCAAATTGCATGAACTGAGATATGAACTCCTCATCCCCCATATTCACCCGACATGGCTCCCTGCGATTTTATCTTGTTCCCGAATTCAAAGAAATGGCTCGCAGGAAGGATAAAAAAAAGCTGAAATGAAGACTGTCATGGAGACTGAAGCATATTTTGCAAGGCTGGACAATTATTTTTGGAGGGATTGCAAATATGGCATCTTCGTTTGGAAAAGTGTGTACACCTAAAAGGAGACTATGTTAAAAAATAAATAGCTTGCATCAATAAAAAATGGCGACTTCATTTTTAAAACATTTTGAACCACCCTCGTTGTTGTAGGAAGATGTGGGGGAAAATTGTAACTTGTAAATGAAACATTTTGAAATTCAGATACAACAGTGAAAATTGGATCAGTGCTATCTTTATATTTCACTCTATTCTTAAAATAAATTTAAAGAACAAAATGTGTATCCACTTTTAAGAAAATTTTGAAAATGTCCCTTGGGTTTCATATAAAGTTTAAGACCCCTGAAGAGTATTAAATTAAGTACCCCCAAAATTTAAAGAAGTATTTTCAAAATCACAGAGCTGCGAGTCAGGTCAGATAAACCAAGGAATATTCATTTGGGAAAAACTCATACAAATAGTTTAGACACTATTGTTGTTGACAACAAGTTTTAAAACAAAACACTTTTTTGGTATCAGGGGACCCAAAAACATAATTTTAATCGAAATCTCGAAATCAATTTTCTGCAGCATTACATAACTTCCTGTATACTACATGAATTTACTTTGTATTTAAAACATTTTTGTATGTATGTATGTGAGAAAGTAAACAAGTAGTGCCACTGAATGGCACAGACTTTCTTGTGGCACAGACACTAGTTAGTTTTCTAATTTCTATGGTATTTTTCAAATTTCCTATTTTTGAAATTGCACCCCCCCACCCCCCAAATAAACATTAGAGACATCCCAGTTTCCATATTCAGATTCATTTTCAAAAATCTATTCCAGCACTTCTCACAATGCATCTAAATTGCAGGGTATGTGTTAACAACAATAGAGTATAAAAGAGAAGTGACATCTGCAATTTCCAAGCTAAGCACCAAACGTCCTTTCTTACTTTTTACCTCAACACCACATTTTGAAATGTAAACAACAAAGCAAAAGGGCAAGTTTTCATTTAATTTTAAAATTCCAGGAGAAGGTGCTGCAGTAATAATTCTAGCAAACATAGTTACTATTGTAACTACCATTTCAATGTCAGCTGTATGTACTAATGGATTAATCAAAGGAGGTAAGATGGTTGTATGATTTGGGAAAAATAAGCAGTCTTGCACCATCTATGGTCTGTGTGCTATATGCATTATTTATGAGCTCTTTGACCTTGTCTTTACTGTAAATTTTAATTTTCTTTCCTTTGCTTTATTTATTTTCTTTATCTCACTACAATGTCTTATTTATAAGGAATGAGGGGAAGATGTTCATGACCCTCTATTCAATGGTTATGAGAATCCACTGAATCCCACTCATTTTTCCAAGAGGGAAGTCCAGATTTAAATGGCTTCTATTTTGAAGAATTTAATTCTGCAGAAATGCACTTATGATCACAACGCCTCTCATTTTGCACAGGTTTATTGTGAATTTATCCTTCATTCTAAACCTTTATATTCAAGATCTTGCAGTTATGAGGTAAAACAAAACTTAGCTTGTGACAGCATGAGGCTTCTTGCTTTTATATATTTTATGTATGTTCAAGAACATTTTTTTTGCACTCTTATATTTATTCTTAATTTCTCATCTTCAAATAGTTTCAGAGTGCATAAGAAGCTGTGATCCATCCATGCTTGAACATCAAATAAATTTTGCATGCAAATATGACATATGATGTACACTTTTTCATATTACTAGAAAGCTGCAGAGGATCTTCTGTCCTGTATCTAGACTGCACTAAGCTCTTGTCCAGACTATACCTGTCTTAAGCATGTCCACATCATTTGGTTTCTTGTGCTGCCTTTAATGGATGCATCATTTCAAGCACTTATCTTGCATATGGTATGTGATTTCAGTTGTAGGAATTCTTGTAATTTGCATAGCAAACCTAGTGACATTAGTAACTGCAATCTCTATGTCTACTGTCTGCTCAAATGGGAAAATAAGAGGAGGTAAATACAGGCAGATAAAACATTAGATACATTCATCAAATAGATTCTTTGATTCATTTGCCTTCCAAACATTACAAAATAAAATCTTTTCTGAAACTTAATGATTATTTAAATATTGCCAAGTTTTCACAACTTTTGAAAGCTTTGAATGCATTGTTACAGGTGGAATTTACTATATGATATCAAGATCCCTGGGACCAGAATTTGGTGGTGCAATTGGATTAATGTTTACATTAGCCAACTCCATTGCTGTATCAATGTACATAGTTGGTTTTTGTGAATCTCTCCAAGATTTATTGAAAAGTTATGATGTTATACTCATTGATGGTGCAACAAATGATATTCGGGTTGTTGGATTAGCCACACTTATTGCAATCCTAATATTAGCAATTGTCGGCATGGATTGGGTCACCCGAGTAAGAGAAAATACAAAGTTATTATTTTAGTAATTATTCTCCAATTTTTATGTTCTTTACATTACAAGGAAAAAAATTATTTTTTCAGACACAAATGGTGCTTCTTGTAGTGCTAATTTTTTCTCAAATAGATTTTGTAATTGGAACAATTCTGGGACCCAAAAGTGATACAGAAGTTTCTAAAGGTTTTGTTGGATACAATAGTAAGTTGTTTCTAGACATTGTAATGAGAAATAAAAATATTTAAAAAATGCAGTGAAATCATTAATTTATTTTTCAGAGGAAACATTCAAGGAAAATCTATACAGTGATTACCGTGCTTTTGAAGGTGTTGAACACAACTTTTTCTCTGTTTTTGCTGTGTTCTTCCCCGCAGTAACTGGTATCGTAGCTGGAGCAAATCTGTCAGGAGACCTAAAGGTGTTTGCATTATCTTCCAACTTCATTTTATTTCACTCTACAATTAGAAAGTATTAAAATAAGGTTTTTACATTTTCAGGACCCAAGCAGTGCAATCCCAATAGGTACACTTCTGGCAATATTGGTAACCTTTGTGTCATATGTGGCATATGGCTTTATGATGGGTGGATGCATGCTGAGAGAAGCCTCAGGAAATATAACTGAATATATTTCAGTCATAAATACTTCTGAATCTTGGTCAATATTTACTAACTGCACTGATCGTGACTGTAGATATGGTTTGCATAATGACAATCAAGTAAGAAATAAAAGTTTCTGAAAGTATCCAAAATACAATTTTGCAGTAAACTAAACATTTAATTTATAATGTATGTTCACAGGCCATGGAATTGGTATCTTGGTGGGGTCCTCTTATTTATGGAGGATGCTTTGCAGCAACTTTGTCATCTGCCATCGCTAGTCTAGTGGGAGCTCCACGAGTGCTGCAGGTATAATTACAAACAAAAAATTCTTAATATGAAAACAAGGTATTACAAAATGGGAGAAAGAGGGCACTTAATGAAAGAACAAATGAAAAATACAACTATAAAAAATACAAATGATTACTGAACATTTGTATTGTCAAAATTAATCTGAAAAATCATTCATTTTTTGTGTGGTGTAAAGAACATACAAGAAAAAAAGGCATTACAGTAAACCTCCTTTCATCCCATCTTCACAATTTACTTAACATAAGATTTACAATTGAACATATTGAATTACTAATTAAAAAATGATCTTCAAAATATCAAGATGCCTAATTTTGAGTTTCATGCAAAGAAATTATGAAGTACATTACAATATAATTTCTAATTTTTCTTCTAAGTATATATAATTTATTTCAGATGTATTAAACAAAAAATATAGTTTCTATTGTACATAACAAATCTTCTGTTGCTCATTTCAGGCCCTTGCAAAAGATAAATTATATCCCTTTATAGGATTCTTCTCAGAGGGATTTGGAGCAAACAATGATCCAGTCAGAGGTTACGTCCTAGTGTTTTGTATTTCTTTTGGTTGCATTCTGATAGGTAAGACATTGTTTAAGGATTTTAAATTCTGGAGACAACAGTTTCAAATAGTAATTGTATATTTTCTTCTCAGCTCAATTAAACGCCATTGCTCCATTATTATCAAATTTCTTCTTGGCTGCATATGCATTAATTAACTTCTCTGTATTCCATGCCTCTATATCAAGAAGTCCTGGCTGGAGACCGGCTTTTAAGGTGAGTATGGAGTAAGTCTTGGATTTATATTTGTTACAGAATAATGATTTAATATCATCTTCTCTATTTTCAGTATTACAATGCATGGGTGAGCTTGATAGGGACTTTATTGTGTATTGCTGTGATGTTCCTTATATCATGGTGGACTGCTTTAATAACATTTGTTGTAGTCATCACACTCTATCTGTATGTGTCATATCGTAAACCAGGTAAGAGTTACTTTCAGTATTACACATTTGTGTAATACTGAAATGACAGAAAACATATTTCATATTACTGATTTACTATATCATATAATTACCATATTACTGGAAAGTGAGGTACACACTGAAATTTCATAGTTCTTAAAAAGTCTTTGAATTCTGTATGTATGTACATAAGCAAGCACAAGGGTAGCTTTAGAATCCAAAATTCAAATGGTTTTCCACAGAAGGTTTTCAATTATTCAGTGTCTAAGTTACTATTCATAAAACAACCCTTAGGCTGAATTAAAGTTTTGTTCTTAAAAATGTTATTAATACAAAAAAACCTCCTTATAATAATTTTAATCCTATTTCTCAGTAAAACCTCTGAAATGAGAAAATAATATTTTCCAGAGGTTAATTGGGGCTCATCAACACAAGCCCAATCCTACAGTTCAGCTTTAAAAGCGATGCAGGAACTTAACAGAGTTGAAGAACATGTCAAAAATTATCGACCTCAGATTCTAGTGCTCAGTGGTATGCCAAGCACCCGCCCTCAACTGCTCCACTTCTCAAATCTCATTACCAAAGGACTCTCTCTTAATATTTGTGGTTATGCAATAAAGGTTCAGTACTTTCTATATCCTTGTTTTACTTTTGGAATCAATACCATTTATAACTTAGCGTCATAACATTCAAAACATTTCTTGATCAGGGACATCATTCACAGCGTGTTTCTGATGCTTTGGCAAGAAAAGCATACACATGGTTGAGAAGACACAGGATTAAATCATTTTTTAATGTTGCTGAAGATGAAAATTATGTAACTGCAGTGCAAGCATTAATTAAAATATCTGGATTGGGAAAACTTAAACCCAATATGCTTCTTATGGGCTATAAAAATGATTGGCAAACTTGTGATCGTGAGGAGCTTCTTCAATATTTTGATATCATACAGTGAGTGGTACATATCCAAAGCAAGCGTAGGTAAATGCAAAGACACAATAATGATTCAGCAATACTGGAAAAACAAATTAACCTAAATTGTGTTTTTTTCTTTCAGCTACGCACTAGATAAATACCTAGCTGTTGGAATTCTCAGAGTTCAGGAAGGTCTTGATTATTCAGGAATAATAAATGATGACGAAGTTGTTCCAATATCGTTTTTGGATAAAAAAGATGCTGAAGAGAAAATGAGACGTAACCAATCAGCTGGACAGTTGTCTCAAGGTTGGCAGGAAAATGTGTAAAAAGAAATTAGCACAGAAATGCACAAGAGTATTTCCTCATTGATGAAGTAATTTTGTTCCAGTTGATGGTGTAAGCAGCGATACTGATACCCCACCTACGACACCTAGAATGGATCGTGTTAACATAAGCACAGATCCAAGTGCTGGAGATGGTGGAGACACTACTGTAACAGTAGATAGCAAAGAGAAAAAGAAGAAGATCAAGAAGAAGAGTGGTAAAGAGAAGAACCCTGAATTATTATACACAGGGCCTGGAGGTGTACCTCTCTCAAAGGATATTCTAAATAATGTCACGTTATTTCAAAGAAAACAGAAAAAAGGATTTATAGATGTCTGGTGGTTATATGACGATGGAGGTTAATATTCTATGGGTCACTTCTGACTGAGATTTAACATCTAAACTAAAAATATTAATGAGTGATTACCATTTCAGGACTGACTTTGCTCATCCCTTATATTTTAAGTACAAAGTCTATTTATTCAAGTTGTAAACTACGAATTTTTTCACTGGCAACAAGCAAAAACGATCTTGACAGAGATCAAAGAAAGTAAGACAATAACAAACATTAATGGAGAATGAATGGAATTTACAAAAGTTTAGAAACACATTATTGTCATTATTACAAATGTTATATTTTTTATAGTTTGGCTGCACTTCTTTCTAAGTTTCGCATAGAATACAGTGATGTTGTGGTCATACCAGATATCACACGAAAAGCTCAGGAAGAGACAAAGAAAGAATTTGAAGCACTGATTGAAAATTTCCGCTCAGGTTCTGACAATGATGATTCTAGTGGTAAGTACAAATTTTGAAGCAGCATTTTTTTGGCAAAATCAAATTCTAATTTTATTTGATATGTTCTTACAGGAGGCCAGAGGACATATATTACAGACACAGAACTGATTGCCTTACAAGAAAAGACAAATCGACACATGAGGTTACGAGAATTATTATTACAACATTCACAGGAATCAACTTTTGTGGTCATGTACGTATTAACTACAAAATTATTTAGGAAATATTACTTTATTTCAGTGGTTCTCAGCTAGAATGCTAAAACAACTTAAGATTGGGGAAAAAAATTTAAGTTTTTCTTTACAGAAAATCAGAAGCTGTTTTTCAAAAGTAACAAGCTTATATAATGTTTAAAAATATTAGAATACACTCTAGTTTTGGCAAATATTCTTATACTAATAATTTTATTTCACATCATGATGTAACTTTTGCCTTACATTACACATTTCTAATTTTTCAAACTTAATGTCATGAACTTTTTAATTTTTCAATATTTCAAAAGTCAACAAGTTCAAATTGACTAAAATTTACAAGTTATTTATTTTGATTATTAACTTTTCCATCTTCAGTGAGTTTTGCTGTTAATGCAGGAAAGTAGGGAACCACTATTTCCAATTATTTATGATGTCTCTATGTGCGGAACTTTCTCAACAGGGCTCTCCCAATTCCAAGGAAAGGAACAGTATCAGCACCATTGTATATGGCATGGTTAGAGCTACTAACCAAAGGGATGCCTCCTTCCCTTCTTGTGCGGGGCAACCAAACATCAGTTCTCACATATTACTCTTAATTTTATATTAAAGAAAACAATATCATTCATCTCAGCCTCAGTACAACTGATTTTTAATTCAAATTTACACATTTTTTAGAGTTGCTTTACAGAGAAATGTGCCATATTTTGTAAATAAGTCAGTATTTAATATCATTCATTACATTTTATTCAATGAATTTATTTGATTACATATTCATGGGAAGAAGCAAGATGAGACCACAGGCAAAAATTTGAACTGCAATTTATAAGCAAACATACAAAGTAGTTCACAATGAATGACTGACTTCTCATCTTTGAATAATGTTTCTCTTCTTGCTACACACACCAGATATTATTAAGAGAGAATACAATCATCTCTTCTATTATACTTTGTTATGCTTTCTGTAGAAAAACAGATTGGAAATTTTCATCACCAGAATTATTGAATGTTCATACAAACCCTCAAGGGAAATTATGAAAAGTAATAAACTTTTTAGTACATTAACCACTGAAAACACTGCATTTGGTTTTAAAGAACAAACAAGAATAAAAATGTGTTCTAAATCACACTCAGTCTGCTAATGATGTCCGAGTACTGCATGTTAAATTGCTTCATTCATTATTAAGAACAAGCAAGTGATATTACTTCACGTGTTTAAATATATTAGTGGTATTTTTTTTTTTTTTATAATGGAAAAAAAGTTTTAATGTTATAACATTTCAGATGTTGATTTATTGAATAGAAATATAAATGAAATTAGCAAGGTTATTTCCCTTGCATTATTCAATAAAGTCAAGGAAAGTAATTTATTGTATTATGTAATAATACACTCTATACTGCAAATCTGTCAAAATACATGTGTGAATTTATTGGTAATTATTTTGTTGGTTCCCATTTTGTATGGATGAAGAAATGAGATGCACAATTATTAATGCTTGAACTTGGTTTTCCATGTTGTTTATTTTTAAAAGTATTACCTCTCACTACAAGAAAAACTTTGCAGGACTGCAGAACAGAAAATTGAAAATAGTTTTGTCAGTACTTAAGATATCATTCTTCCAACAATTGATCAAATTTTAAAAATACAAAAGTGCTAACAAAAAATGCATTGTTTAAAAAACATGAATTAAGTTTCTCAAATTAAAAATATTGATTCTATTTATTAAAAAGGTAATTTGAATAATGCATGGCTAGCGCAATCAATATCAACACCAGCTTCTTTCCACGATTTTGCTATAAGTTGTACAATGTTTTAATAAAGTATCAAAACATTCTTAATAAATTGAATTTATTACAGTGATTTTATTGTCATTTTGTCCAGTTTCTTATGAACAATCAAAATAGAAATGTATTATTATTTTCCAAAATAACGGTACGAGCTGATACAATGTAGAATTTCCATGAATAAAATATGCAAGCGATGCAGTGGGAGGTACCTGACCCGCGTCCCTTCGGCTATTGAAGTGAAGGGTAGTTATGACTTCTCATGGCTGGACACCCCCGCGCAGTTGGGGGAAGGGGAGCCCTTTGTCGGCGACCGGGTCCCGCCGAATCCTCGAGACGGTGCTTTCCCCACCCACGCGACCGCTCGTCAAAGAGACCCCACGTTAAGTGCGCACACTTGGGGGAGACCCCAACAAACCGCGCCATAGTTCGGTTTGTCCCGCCTACGATTGTCCTCCGCGACGGCCCGATATGGAAGACGGATGACTTCCGATCCGTCATCGCCCATGCAAGCCGTAGCTGCCTGGAGGTTGGCGACGTCATCCATGGGTCCAAGGGCGACAACGCTAAGGGCCCCTTCCCACGTGCAGCGGGCGTCCGCCGCTGCGGCAAGCGGTGGCGGGCTCTCGCTACGCGAAGCGGAGGATGGCGTACCCGCCACCGCTAACAGAATATAGCTTTTAGGGCCCCTTCCCACGTCGCGACGGCGGTGCGCTTCCGAGCAGCGCAGCTCGTAGCAGAGCGCATTGGTTTGAAGGGGGCCACGGCGCCGCGCTTCCTTCAAGCAGCAGAAGCCTTCCGACGCCGCACCCGCCGTAGCCACGGCCGCACGCCGCCTGCCGTGGAAGGGGTGGGTGGGTTCTGCAGGGTATGGGCCGCCTTCCACGGCGCGACCGCGGCGTGCTTCGCAGCAGCGCGGCGCGTAGCAGAGCATTGGTTTGAATGGAGGCCTTCCGTGCAGCGGGTGCGGCTGCTACGGCAGCCGACGCCGACTCCAGCTACGCGAAGCGGAGGAGGGGCAGCGCCACCGCGTAGCAGAATACAGCTTTAAAATGGCAGCCTTCCCCACTGCTGCCGCCGGTCGCTGAGTTCTACCTGCTCCGGTCCCTTTGTCCGTCGTCGGCCGGAGGGTCGGCGAAACTTACCTCTCCAGACCCCACCCCTCCACGGCGGGCGGCGGTGGCTGCGTCGGAAGGCTCTGCTGCTTGAATGAAGCGCGAACGCCGTGGGAAGGCGCCCTAAAGCTGTGTTACTGCTAGTCGTGGCGCGTATGCCCTCCTCCGCTTCGCGTGGCGGGAGTTCGGCGTCGGCTGCCGCAGCAGCAGCCACCCGCCGCACGTGAGAAGGCCTCCATTCAAATGAATGCTCTGCTACGAGCCGCGCTGCTCGGAAGCGCACCGCCGTCGCGACGTGGGAAGGGGCCCTAAATGGTTGCGGCCGCAGCGCAGTGCTGCTGTTTATACCTGCTGCTGTCCCTTTGTCCGTCGTCATCGGAGGGTCGGCGAAGAGCCCTGCCGATTGACGTACGCGCGCTTCCGTGGCGGCGAGGGAAGGCGCCCTAAACGGCCACGTTGAGTGCAGCCGTGGTTCTCTGCCGCTATCTGGGGAGCGACCCGCCCGTGACGCCGGTCAACAACCCTACCACTGTGCGTGCTGTGATGCCCGCCGACGATAACAACAACAACGAAAGGGTAATCATTCGCTTTGCTCCCGCTATAAAAAAGAATGCGGATGGACATTTATTTGAGCAAAGCTGGAAAGGTGCCATCAGCACGATATTAATGACGGCATATTGACTGAATTACAATTATACCGAGCCAAACAAATGAGTAAATTTAACTATAAAAAAGTCGCACTTGTCGTAATTGTAGATAATTTGTAAATCACCCATCATCATTTAGGCATTAAATGTTTGTTTACCAAAGTGTCATGGTTATTATTGAAAAAACCCATTCCCGCTCCAGAAGCCACACACACACATTCGTTACGCGTGAGGGGTTACAAAACATAAAAATAATGTACAGATAAGGGATAATAGGGGTGTTCCCCGTCTCTACCGCTCAGAGGTAAATTATGATAAACATCTATACTGACAATCATACGAAAGGAAAACAATGGAACTACAATGAGACAAAGGAAGCTGGAGAATTCTATGAAGTAGAAGTATCTTATAAATTCTTTACCTAGGAGAGTCCAATCAAAAATTACAAGGGAGATGGTATCCCATTATTGTGACAAATGTAAAGAGAAGGGAGGAGATAATGAAAAATGAAAATTGTCATGTTTCTGCAATAATTATTACAATATTACCTTCAATAATTATTACATTATTAACTACAACTTGGTGTTGAAATTCAGCAGAAATGCTTTCTGTGGATAAATTTGTGGAATTGTATGAGAACATTTAAGAAATTTCACCCAAATTTTCCTTTCATTTTAGTAGTGGGGAAGGATATAGGTGTTGTGGTGTGATATCTTTGGCATTTTTCATAAAATAATTAAAGACGTCATTGCCAACAATATTATTTAATGCAATAGCAGCTTTCCATGGATTAGCCATCATCATCAGTTGTCTGCTGGATGGAAGCCACAAAAACGAGCCAAAAAAAGTTAAGCCATCGAAAGCTGCTATTGCATTAAATAATAGTTGGCAATGACAACATCTTTAATTATTTTAGTGGGGAAGGAGTTGAATTGAAGCATGGGGAGGGGGAGGGGGGGACAAAAGATTTAAAGTTGCAAGGAGAGGAGCTAAAGTTAGTGAATATATTTTTTAATGCTCCTTAATGAATATAAAATGAATTGACCAGAAGGGGTTTCAAATTACATTTCTTTAAATGGGACAACAATGTTATCACAAGTGGCCACTAAATCCTATCCTGAATTCAAAGCTGAAATGTGTTCCTAAATAACGATTTAAAAGATTTTAAATAATAATTGTAATCTTTATTAAATTTGTTTACATTAACTTTTACCTCTCCTTTTAACATAACCACAAAACCTTTAAGTTTAATTTTTTTTAAATTATGTCTTGTAAAAGGTAAATTAAAACATTTATTTTAAATCATTGTTTGTTTGTTGTTTTATCAAGTTTGAATTTAGACATGGCAGAGGCCAAATATTATGTAACTAGGAGTTTCCATAGTGTGGAATTGAGCATTACTGTTGTGACCATTTTCAGTGTATTATTTTCTAGCTTTATTTAATAACACTTCATAAACCACGGCTCCATGCATGGGAGCCACTGAGACCACTTTCATAAGGATTATTTAATAACAAATTAATATATTTCTATGCCCCTTGCTTTTGGAAGCCACTGTAACCTTCCGTAAGGCAGAAAAGTAAAAAGCAAAATGCATTAAAATTACTCATGTAGTCTGTATATAATATAAATTACTCATGTAGTCTGTATTTCATTTAAACTACTCTAGTAGATTATCTTTGAATAACATTTGTTAAATGTGAAACACACGAATCAGTAATTGCAAAGAAATAATTAAAATTAATTCTTGTCAACTATGAAAGGAATGTGGTGTTCACTAATAACTCCCACATTGTGGGGGTGAAGGAGAAAAGAGAATGTCTATATTCTGACTCTATCTCCACAGGTGTTTAGACCTGTATGTGTAATTGCTCAAGAAAACACCAGTAATTTCCACTTTATATTTTTTTAAAGGATTTCTAATTCTATATTCCATACCCATTATTCTATTTTTTATCACTTTGTTTTTCTACTTTGTGTTTGATTTCTTTTCAGTATTCAAAGTGAACTTTTGATTACTAAAATGTTGCTTAAGAACATTAAATGAAACCACACATGGCACACAAACTATTTAATATCTCAACACAAAAGTGTACATTAGAAAGGCATTATTGGTATCACTCCATACAAAATGCACAAAACTTATAACAATTCACCAATATAAAATGGTGCAAAATAAATTATATTGCACAAAATTGAAGCGTACAACCAAATAGGTCTACTAAAGACACACTTTTTCACGTACAAAAAACTCTAACTGCAAACAAGTTTATCTGCTGAGAAAATATCGAAGAATATGATTATTTTCAATTCTTTTTGGAACATCAATTCTGCGCACATTATTGCAGCATATTCTGCATTAGGAAAAAATTCACACAATATAATGAATTATGTGGTAACTTCAGCCTAGATTTTTGAATAATAATATGGCTAATAAGAACAATAATATGATCAAAAATGGTGTGAGATCAAGTATCAATGAAGTTGTACAAGTTGGACATCATGAACTGTGTACGTATGCACTATATTTAGAATGTATGCTTCCCAACAAACAAACCAGCTTCTGAACATATTTATTTATTACTAATATAACAAGTTATAAGAATTTTTTTTTTTAAACAATACTCAATATTCACAAAACATATTTTTTGAAATATTCATCTAACTTTTTTCAGAACTATTAAAGCATAGTTACATAAATTGTATGTTTTCTTCTTCTTTTTTTTTATGAGGATCTTAAGTACAAGAAAAAAATTAATAAGCAAGCAATGTATCTGCTCCAAAAATTAAAATGATAAATAAGAATACTAAATGAGCTCAAGAACACTCATAGGAATATTTATGAGATTCACGAAATACATAGTAATCCTTTCAAAATGCGTGCTTCACTCATGACATTCATTCATTACAAAGTTTTCTAATAGTAAACTAACTTACTAATAGTAACTAATAGTAACATTTAACATAGCTCAGTCTTCCCATATGTTTTATCATTCCCTTTATAAATCCTTATGGGTTTACAAATAATTTTGCAGATGTTGCTGAACACTTCTATGATTATATTAAGAAAAAATAATAGATTAACACTAATATTAAAAAATACTCATCAACAAATATAGTTGCTCTGGTACGAAATTTCAACATCATCAACAACATCTATGTAATGCAACAGCAATGTATATTATATAAAATTGCAAATCACCAAAGCTAAATGTGAAAAGTCTGCCCTTTTGGTGCATTATAGCAAAACTACCGCAAATGCTATTGAGAGAAAAAGTAAAATTGTCAATATGTTATAGGCCTACTGTGGCTGCAAAGTCGCTTGTATGATGGAATAGAGATTGAAAAATACAGTTTGTTGAAATTTGAACATATTCTTTACAGGGTTTAGGCAGTTCAAAGAACAAGAGAAATTTTTTTTTAATGAAATTCAACCCAAAAAATAAATTGAAAATTAAAATGTAATTTCTCCACTTATTTCAGAACCACAAATTCCTTCTTAAAAGGGATATTCAATTGCAGGTAATTACAAAACCACTGAACTCTACAAACTTATTAAGGAGCATTACAAACATTTCAGCACAAGGAACATAAAACCTGAGTCAAATAGAAACTAAATTTAACATGATGTTTATCTTTATGTTTATCACAATTCCAAGGTCACAATTATATTTGTTATTGTTACAATAATTCTTCAGAAGAAATTTCGAAGTCATACGAATCAGGATTTCTCTGAAAAGAAACACATTCACAATTAACATTTTTCTCAAATAAACAGTATTCTTTTACAGAAACTATCAGTATTAAAGTGAAAGACAAGAGGAATGAGATAGAATTTGAGACACTAAAGGGGAATATCTTGACTATATAACTTGAAGAATTTAGCAATGCAAACCCTGTATTCCTAACATTTTTCCATCAAAACTGTCAAGAATAAAAAAATTTCAATGGCTGTAACCACTGCTGGAAAGACATGGCTAAAGAAGTACAAAAGAATGTAGAAGAACAAAGATGTGATAAGGCAGATGTTTTTAAAGAGAGATAATAGAACATAAGTCTGTAAATTTAAATTTAAAGCAGTAGAAAAAGCTAAGTAGACCTTTTTTCAGAAAAATAAAAATGAAATCAATCACGTTAAATATTCAATTAATATTTCAATACATCATGAAATATAACACAAAAAATTACAAAACAGAAAAAACTAAACATTAAACGTAAAAAAGGAAGGAAAAAACATGTGCATGCACATGCACACACATGCATACAGTTCAATTTTAATGCTTTTCAAGATATTATATTTTCAATCCCATTTATAATATTTTTACAAACTTCCAACAGAAATCTGCATTAAAATCCTAATCGATATGCTAACTGGTATGGTAACTGGCTGTCAAAGAGACAAATAGTTTTTGAGTATGTTTGTACAAAATAGAAAATCTTAAAAAGAAATATAACTTATGACACAAATATATTTTTATTTTTTATTTTTTACAAATACAAAAAACTTTTATCAGAAAATTACTTTCAGTTAATTTACAAGTATCTCACTTGTGATTCAGTTATATATATTAAAAACTGTTCTATGAACATCCAATACAAACTTCTTGTAGAAGAACGCAACAGTTCATACTACTTGCATTAATTCAATGAAATTCTTAAAAATGGGTAACACAATTTTTGTTTTTTTTTGTATCCACATGCTTTTAAGCAATAAATGATAGTATATGAATGATAAAAAATTTTCTAGTAAATTTGATTGCTCCGATTTAAATTCATATAAATAAAAGATATCAATATCATATATATTGTAATCATTCATATTAACAGCTTTTTTACGCAACAACCTGTACGGTAGTAAATTTATGGAGAATCTTTAATGACAAGACATAATAAATATTATATTGAAGTCAAGTTTACGGGGCTTGGTCAGTAGGAGAAAAAAATGTTAACACATGGTTGTAGGCAAATGTATCGGAAAATGTATTTCACTCATCAGAGCTATACAAGATGGAGAGAAAAAACAGAAAACAATGTGTCAATTACTAATAAACTGTTTTGATACAGACATAACATGAAATTTTCTTCAGCCCAACATTCTAACATTAGTAAACATGGTGAGTGTTGGTGTGTGGTGTGTGTGTGGGGAGTTGTTTGTGTGTGTGTGTGTGTGTGGGGGTTGCGTGTATGTGTCAATATTATACACACACAGACACACACACACACAATATTAACCTATGCCAAAGCCAAAGTGACTAAAAGTGTTTTACTATATGTTGAAATTTGGGTTGTATTGCACACACACACACAAACACAGACAATACACTGCCACACACATGCATGTGCACACACACACACACTGACTCACTCACTCACACTCTCTCTCTCACACATACACACTCACTCACACACAATCACACTCTCTTGTGCATGCACACGCATACACACAATTGTGCAAGAACTTGTGATGCAGTGACACTGGTAAACATTGTGTAATTGTTCTGATAATATTATAGGGTGGAACACACTAAAATCTTATTAATGAAAATGTATTTGGCAAATATAAAGAATTATGAACAGGATAATTTGAACAAGATAATTTTGAATGTTTTGTTTTAGTTTTGCAAGCATTAGAATATTGAGTAATTCACAAATAAATTTATTTGCAAAAAAATATTACAAAAGGAAATTTTTCAAGAAAATATGGATACTGTTCCAATGTGCTTTGTCACTTTCTCACAAATCTTTTGTCTCTCCATTTTGAAAGAGACAAGATTGAAGGATACCACAAATAACAGGCTGATATCCCCACAGCCCAGAATGCCAGAGTTAATTGCATAAACAGCATTATTCCAAATGAATTGCAGGAAAGCAAATGAAATTTCAATGTACCATCCCAATGTAGCAAATATAAGTTGAGACAGTCCCACCTGATGTTGCTCTCAGCACAGGAGCCTGCTGGGTTAAGGCAAAACATATCCCAGTTGTATTTTTACATCATAGAGCACATCCACCTTATCATTCAAAAGATGACTCCAATGGATATGGGTGTTCTCTTGTAGTTTCTGCTTGTGAAGGAAGATTTGAGTGAAAGCTGAAATAACAGTAGTTCAACGAGCCCTTTGTCTCTTTATTCAACATTCTGTCTACACAGGCTGCTTAAAATCTTGCCTCTTGTTTATGTATATTTTAGAAGAGTTGTTTTTGTTTTAATATTTGAATTTTATAATATTTGCATCAATAGCATGCACAAAGGTTTCCAAATTATGAGCAAATGTGAATGACTTCTAAATAAATCATACAGAAGTGAAGTGAAGTGAAGTGAAATGAATTTCACTTCACATCAATCAGTTCAATTTCCACAGCATTTGTAAAAACATGGCCATGTTTTTGCAGTAACATTTAAATTTGCTTTTTGCAATAATATGAATAAATTTAGTAACATGATCCCACAAAATAAGATAATAACAAGGAAAAGCAACAACAACAGAAATTTATTATACCACCACTTATTTCAATTCGTAGAACTTGAGTTCTGTCTTTAAATATTGTGGAAGGATTCGCAGGAAGTACAATTATAAAAGTATGTATTAAGATTCAGTCGATCTTAGTAAGGTCTTGCAAGAAGTGAAACATTTCATAATCAATATTGTTACTTGATATTAATTAAAGCACTAATACTTATGGTATTTTCTGAATACTTAACACACTTCATTTTTTCCCTAGAAGTAAGATTGGGGCGAGTTCAATGTTGGTTTAAATCACGGAAATTCAAAGAATTGTAAGAACTTGAATTTGCACATAAAGTAAGTTAAAACTTGGCCTCAAAATTAAATTATCCTCATGTCAGAAGGTAAATTTTCTATTATTTCAGCTATTGATTAATTGAACAGAAGTTGAAGAAATCAAAAGGCAATGAAAGTATAATACATTTATTCTAGTCACCACCAATGATAACTTTTTCCTTCTATAAACTCCACTGGACATCAGATTTTCCAGATTATTTCTATTCAAATATTTACACTAAACAATGTAATAATAAGAACATTATTAAATCAGATTTGTAATGTTTGGGCATTCAATAAAGGTGCAACATTGTTGAGCTTATTTTAAACTAAATGGAAACAAAAACATATAAAAATGAAAAGTATTATCTTTTTTCAACAATTTAATCACAAAAACACACACACACACACACAACACAGATGAAAGTAGTGTTTCTGTTGACAATACATTTTCCACTTTAAAAGAGGAATAACAATATAGTAGTGAATCAACCTGGGATTGAGTACCATTATTTCACTCTTGCATTTATAAGTACAGTTGACTCTGGATATAGTAAACTGGACACTGGTCCTGATCCACACACATAACAAATAAGCACTAGAAGATACTGTTACAGTGAACTCTCAATATCGGATATAGAGAACATAGTAAATACAACTTCAAGGAAGAAAATTACACCTCAGTATCATTAATGGTATCATAATCCCTTATCAGTATATCTTTTTTTTAATTTAAAAAAAATAAAATTACTTCTAGATAGTTGTACTTTATGCCTACAAAATTTCATCTGTGATTATTGAAAGGATTCAGAACCATGAGTAATTTTATTGCAAAATATGTGATAAAAAGTTGTTTTTTATATCTCAGTATTTTTTATCGGGAGAATGATAGATGGATAGGAGAATGATGATTTCAGCTTCTACCTGAAATCTACTTGGGAAAAAAAATCTCTATCTTCAATTTTGTAATAGTAGGAATAAGCCAGGAGAATTTCAACTTTTGAAATTTTTATATATTCACAGCTAATAATGAAATTTAATAGCAAATACAGTAGTAAAAACCAAATTTCTCTTTAGATGCTACGTTTGCCAGGAAATAATTAAATAAACAACGCCATTTTCATGTTTAACGGATCATAGGGTGTCACCATGTTTTACTAGTTCATGGGGATAAAAAATTCAAACAATTTTTGAGTTGGTTAGATATTATGCCTTTTCTCCCCTTGTTTTTGGTATTTTCGAGGCTTTAATAGGCTTCTAAGTGGTTATTCTTTCATGCTTAAACATCTATTGTGCAATCATAATAAATAAGACTCCACAGGACGCACACTTTTTAGGACGGAGAAGGGAACAGTGCAGAGAGACCCTGAGAGAAACCCTTTCACTCCTCCTTCTTGGAAGCACTCATGGAAGTTAACATATATAAACATGTTATAAACATTTCATTATATTAAATTACATTTGTAAAGTTTTTGAATTTAGGACCTTAAAAATATAATATACCACATGTCAAGAAACACATAACAAAACCAAACAACAAAAAAACTACAATTTTTTTCTTTTCTTCAAAAATACAAAGCTTTGAAACCAATAAATTGAATCGATAGCCACAAAAGCACCAGTTGAGTAATATTCAAATGAGTTACATTACATACATAAATGTTACATACTGTGAACATTCTTTCCCTCCAAAAACTTATAAACATTCTCAAATGAATCTTGAAACATATTTGCTTCACTTATTTAATACAATAAAATTAATTTCATCTGTTTCATGAACTCTTTTAAGACTCTTTAACATAATACCTACTCACCAGTGTATAATGAAATTCACCTTCATGCCGTCTATGAAAATACCGATTTATATTTCTCCTGCACCAATTTGTATGCGTAGTCTTCCTTAGACAAAATACAATCAAGCATGCAATCACAGCAAAACCAATACCAAGAGTAACACCAACTGAAAAAAATAGACATAAATATAGGCATAAACAACACACCTTAATAATCAATCAAATAATGTACATTGTGCTCACTTTCAGTCCTAAATAACTCATCAGGTTAAACATATTCTTTTGAATATTTATTTACATTTTCTCCAAACAATTTAGAGACTTCATGAATCCTAAAAGTTAAAAAGCACAGTGACATGCACAGATCTAATGCATTCATTATCATACATTCAGTAAACAGGTTAAAAATGAACACATGACGAGAAGGTAACTTTCATGAATTTTAAATAGTAAGTTTTAATTTTTGAATGAATTTATTAAAAATTACAATATGAGCTGTTCCCTTTTGGTGTCATTAAAATGAACCTTCTCTTTTTTTTCCCCCCAGTAAAATAATGAATTTATCAAAACTGAAAAGTAATAATGTCCCCTTGCTTTTCACTTTAAAAATGTTTAAGATACACTTACTCGTGCCAGCTGAACTTTTTGAGGCCTCAACAGCAGTAGGCCTAATTACAGCAGCGTATTCACAAGCAGAACTACTTTTCCACACAAATTCAACGTTACATTCGGTTTCCTACAAGAAAAAATTCAGGACATAAAAAATAAAAACTAGGTAAATTTGACCAATGGAATTCATAATAGGAGGGGCTCAGACCAATGGAATTCATAATATTTGAGGGGCTCAGAACAAAAAGCAGGTAACATTTTGTTGAAATCTGAAATCATTACTTGAACATATAATTTTTCTTGCAAAAATTCATTATTTTTTCTGTGATGTTTTGAGCTGTGATATATGCAATCAATATTTACGCTTAAACATTTTGAGATGTTGAGAACACACCAGCGAGCCAGATTATCTTTCATTGTTTGAAGACAAGTATTTCAAGTAATAATGATAAATGATTCGATGTTCAAAGAACAGAACTATTACTAGTAGAATTAGATGATATGTTTTTTGTATTTCTATTATTTATTTATTTATGTATCAAAAATTACGCTTAAAAGGTGGAAAATTGGCAATGTTTGTTTGGCACGGAAAATATAGCATTGCTACAGATCACATAAACAACAGATTATAAATTTCCAGAGTCTGGGCACACACATGTGTGATCAAGATTTTAGTTCAATGATAAATGGTAGAAAAGTGATTCAGAATGTGTATGTTTCCTTTCAATGGGAGGCAGAAATGAAACAAACTTCAAAAAATTCACTGTTCAAGAAATGACTACTGATGATTTTTTTATCCATGAATTCATTAAAAGCAAAATCAGCGATGTTCATTGTTACAAAAGATGAAGACGAGAACTCCATATCTTGGTGAAAGATATATTGGAAATGTATTAAAAAAACAAAACCCTTTCTAATGCTTTTCAAGGAAACGCTGAATAAGGAAATAACTTCTAGTAACTTGTAGTAAAATAAATTCTACTACAATTGAAGCAGGTAGACCATCTATCATAAACCTCCAAAGATAGAATAAAAACACTAATAGTAAACTATAAAAATCTGCAGCAACTGAAAGAAATTATTAATTCCATCCACACACCACTACCTCCATGTAATGCAGCATAACGCTGCCTCGAACACCCTCCCTCCCTCTTTAGAATTACTTAGTTTATGTTTTAATAAATATGCACTTATTATGCAGCAACAAAAAGGAATTTAACTTATCTGATTACCAAAAACATAGAGAATAATTTGAAGAATTCAGTACCAAACTTCTCTTTTTGCTGAAAATTAGAGATCAGCTTAATCACAGAGATCAAAGATATATTTTTAAGAAAAGGACTTTTGTGCCTTTTACACAAATGTACAACAAACATTTTTATCACTTGGTTGTCTTGTGAACTCAGAATTACATGATGAAAGTTCTATAAATGAGAAAAAATAACTTTTCTTTAAAATGAAAGATGATTAAAATTTAGATTGTCTTAAATTTATTTTATTGTTTGTTTTCTTTATTACCAATAATTCTAGTTACAGAAATAAAATTCATATAAATACTTTTTTAGACTTGTATGGGCACTCTTCAAAGCTGTACACTATTCATGCTTGGATTCTCACACCATTGGGCTTTCAAATATCTTTATACTATAACTTAATGAATATATCATACTTCAACCACTTAGGTTAAATCAACATCAAGTACTCAAAATATCAAAACTTGCTAATATATTTTGTTAAGAATATTTGTGTGTTTGGAATACATGACATTTGAGGTAAGAAAAACAGGAAGTAGTTCTTAGTTCCATTTTTGGTACAATGGAATTAAAAACGTAAAATGTTGTGACAGTAGAAACAGATTTGGCTTAATTTTATTTATTAAATAGCTTATTACCAGGCATTGCACAGATGGATTTTTCACTATCATTTATTAATCAGCCAGGCTCTCACCATCCCACTCCTTCAGCTGCTTTGCTCACCCATTCCCCAACAATGCCTCATAGTAGTGCGACAAAATGGTAGAGACTTTCTTGTATTAGTTTTCTATTTTCTTTGGTTTGGGCTAGCTATTTGGATTTGCAACATACACTTTCCACTTGCCATCTATCGCCGCCCACAATACATTTCTTTTTTTTTCCCCCCTTTTTATTATATGAAATTATATTTACTTTATTAAATTATTAACTATATTAAATATCATTTAAATTACATGTACTCACAAATGAAATATTGTAAACAAATCGCAGATAATTTAATGATTAATAACGTGTAAGAGATGCCAAAAAATTACATTTTTATAAGTTTTGAAAAAACAAATGAATCAGCAACATGGGGATTATGTCATAGAGTACATGTAGCAATCCATGCCAAAAGTTTAAAGAAAAATTTCAAGCCATTTAAAAAAAATATTGTTTTTGATATATTTTAATATTGCACACAATATTGCGTGAATACTAGCAAAATTGTCAAAAAAATTTACATAAAATTAATGAAAGAACTAATTTTGGAGAATAAATTTCAGTTTTAAGAAAAATTATCTTAAAATTTGTAGTTGTGGGCTGAAAAACTTTCAAACTGGAATTTTCGAAAATTTAGTTAATAGTGAAAAACTGACCTATGCAATCTCTACAAGGTTTTTTTTTACCTCTATTCTTTCAAAAAATAAATAAATAAATAAATAAATAAATAAATAAATAAATAAATAAAGAAATTAGAGCCACTTAAACGAAAATAATAATAAAAAAAATTAAACACACACACAACAAAAACTGAAAACGTGCCAAGGGTTTCACATACAGTATAAAAATTGAATGTTCATCAAAAACGCCGAGCTTCGAGTTAGGACAGATCGACAGGGAAGTTTAGGGAAGATTCGAATGGTTTTGGTTTTGGCGCTCGTGTTGATCACATACAGTAATTTAAATACTTCTTGGGGTGGTACAACTCCACGATTATATTTGGTTATTCAAGGATTCTCGATTCGCGTTTTGAATAACATTTTGAAATTTTCTGATCCCTCACAACTCACTTCAACTGTATTCGCTTACCTTAAAATTCCTGAACTTTCGTCACAATGCACAGAGCTAATGTCTTCCGTTCCGGACAAAATCCCATTTTCTTCAGCCAACTTTTTAGTCACTCCTATCTGGTGGTCGGTTGCTGTGAAGTGTCGTTTTATTTTATTGTATGTCCAACATTCAAAAATTGACAAGATTTGAATTTTCAACGTCTTGTCATCTGATGAGTGAAAGGAATCTCTCAGTTTCTTAATATCTTTATTAAATATTTTATCTGCGACAGAACTTTGTACTTCCTGAAATTTCTCATGGGGATACCATTCTTGTCGCTATTCTTTTCTTGAGGGGGAGTTCTCTCATTCCAATTAAACTCTTGTTTATCTCCTCTACTTTCATTTCGCAAACGACAAATTATCTGAAGAGCTTAAATTGGCATTTTCTTTATTTCCACTGATTTCGCTATTTTCACTGGACGCTCCGCTCCTTTTGTTAATGCCACGGGAGCCACTGACCTCGTCGCACTCTTCACTAACAGAAAGACTTTTTGGAAACAGACCTTTTCCTGACATGAATATCAAATTCGCAAATCTAATTACTCCTTTAATCAAGTTTCACTAGTAAATGGCTATCACTAGTAAATAGGTCTCAAGTAATATGCCTGTATCTGTGTAATGTTCGTTCCGCTGCTTTTCCTAAAATTAGTTAACGCGTCTCAGAGATTTTCTCTTCTTAAAATTGTGCTTAGAAAGATTAAGTCGATTGAGATGAGTAGATTGAAACGCACTTACTTGGAATAGATTGAGATTTGCACCACACCATTCTCTTAAACGTCCTTCGCACTATTCAACAACAAAATTTAATCAATCAGTTTGGAGCCATTTTTAGATAAATTTGAAAGTGTCCGAGGGCTTAATGTAAAGTACACCCAAAAATTAAAATATCGATTTTAAATCACAGGGGCTGCGACATCAGCCAGAACGATTGGGGAATATCAATTTTGGAGAAAATCGGCTGAACGGTTTGCGCGCTAGCGTTCTGCACAGACGGACAGAGCCGTTTTGTCGTCAATCGATTTTTCGGTATCAAGGTCGCACAAAACTTGGAGTCTGACTACACCACGTGTTAGAGGACTTTTTTCTACATATAGCAACTGGATTTATCCACTTTTTCGTTACCAGGAACCGACAATAAGAATTTTTGTGTCGAAAATTCGCCGTTCTCCGCCGCACGATTACAATACTTTCCTTTCTTACGTTAGTAAATGCGAGAAAGTAAAAACAGAACCACGATACCGGATTTTTTTAAACAGTGAATTTCCGTCAAAATTTCGACTTCGATATTTTGCAGCATTACATAACGTTTTCCCTATACTCTGCTTACGCACTTAAACGAGGAAGTTAAATCTGGGAGAAACATGAGAAAAGAAATTTAAACGATAGAAATACGAATTGTCATGATCTTTCAACTGCAGACAAAAATATTAAATAGTCTCTAGTTAGTTCGTAACAAACAAAAACATGTAAGGTCCATACACGCTATTTTGTAAAATAGGCCACGGTAATTGGGGGACACTATAGAAGAGGAAGAAACCTGCCTACAATATTTGTGCACATTTAATCACCATTCAAGTCTATTAAAAACTAATTAAGAGTAGTTTTAATGGACTTCAATTAGAACCAAATGTGCAAATTACGATGAGAATATGGTATCAACAATTACCAACAGAAAAATATGTTTTCAAGAAGGTTTAATTGACACAATCTACAAATTTCATCACCCCACGCTTGGAGATAACGAGCACTACATTTAGGCTAGTCAGTGTTATTTCCGATGAGGTCTTTCCAACATTCGTCCTCTCCTCCTTTCCACGCCTCAAACACAATCCACTTTCGCAACGCTAAATATTGACAATGAGTACAGGAAGGGAAAATGCGGCAACGGTAACTGGGGAGACTCTGTAGAAGAGGAAGCAACCTGCCTACATGAATTGCCTCCACTTCAGTAAGTAAGTAAATAAATAATAGTTAATAGATCGCAAGCGATTCCTCGCTGTCCTAACTGCACATGCACAGCAGTAGGATACCAGTCATTCGCTCACTGCTTACTCAGACTCGAACTGCCTCTTCCTTTTATGAGTGATATTGTATATTAGTTTCCTCCACTTGTTTCGATCTTGGGCACAATTATGTCTGGCCATGGTAAAGTTGGTAGCCTTGATTATTTCATTGGGCCACCTACATATTCCCTTCCCCTCC